TGTTACTCGAACTGGTGGTGGTGGTTTCTTCTGTTTTTATTAGGGATTTTTTGTCTGCTCACCAAACTGGCAAAACCAAAGTGGTTCCTACAGTTCAGAAGATCCTTATAATTCATGATGTTGTATATCCTTTTGTAACAAAACAATAAAACAAACAAATAAAAACACCAGAATATTACAGGTTAGTCTCAACTAGAGTAGGCCACTTAATTATTGAATTGTGAGTCCCATAGAGGTAAATCCCACTGATTTAATGACGTTTCTCTAGTCAGGACTAATCAACAAGATTCAGGCCAATTTTTTTTTAAAGTTCAGTTTGAAATTATTTTCTGAATGAATGTATATTTAATATAGCAAACATGATAATTATATGACAAACCAAGTTATATCTAATGCATTTTAAGTTCTTTAAAAAATAAAGTGACTTTGTTAATATTTCATTTGTCAATAGTCTGAAAATTTGTTTTTTCTTTAAAAACAGTCCCCCCATGGCGTCAAAATTTCTGTAAAATTTTACATTTCCAAGTAAAAGTACATGAATCATAAATTAAATAACTAATGATCTGCATTTTTAATGACATCCAGCAACAACTTCCTGAGGCAGTCACCTCATTCTACAATTAACAATCTCACCACAAATGGAATATAAGTTGGAGGTAACAGAAATGATATTTGTGTGCTTCTTTGTTTTCATTTGATCCCATGTGGTCCATTACTAATTTAATGCAGACTTATGTGAAAAAGCCATGTAGGAATAGACAAACAGTTTATAGTCTCATTTAATATAAGAACCAGCTCCCATTCCTTATCCTAAGAGATTTCGCAGTGTTTAAAAACTGAAGGAAACTTCCCAGTATATTATAGAAACACCATAATATTTTTTTCTACACAACCATAAACAAATGGAGGTTCATTAAAAACATACATGGTATGGCAGGATCCTGGGTAGCCCTACATTATTTTCTCCCTCTCACATGCTCAACTGACTTGTTTGATGCTGGGGGCCTCCAATGTCCATTTAGTTGCTGGGGAGGTTAAGAGTAGGATGGGAGATAGCTAGGCAGCAGCTGAATGTGTTGATGCAGCTGGCTGTAGGAAGTTGATGACATCTACATGAACCTGGAGAATTATTTTTTCCTCCTGAAACTGACTTCAAGAAATCAGCTGCCTGCTGCCCGGCTGTCTTGTACCCTCCCCTGGTCATTAAATTGTATGGGGAGAAGTGCCTAGCCTAAGATAGGTAATTGGTGTGGGGAGCAGTCCTTTCAGATGGAGGTGTTGGA